CCCTCGGGGCCCCGGCGGGGACACCTGCCCACCTCCCAGCGCTGAGAAAGCGCTAAGAGAGCCGTTCCTAATTATATTTCTAACCACATCCGACACCTTTCGTTCTTTGGCTCTCCCGTTTGGCGCGTTTTCAGAGAAGTTAACATCTTTATCGTAGATGTGTGTGAAATGGTGCCGTGCCATCGGGGCGTGGGTGGGAGCGGGGTGTTGCTTCGGGTAACGGGAGTGGAAATAAGTTCGTGGAATCAGACGGAGCAAGAGGAGCCTCAGCCTTAAAGGATTAAGATTTCTTAAAAGGAAGGGTTTGGGGTTCATACCCCTCCATCCCTGAAGACAGCAGCGCTGCAGCAGAGCACGCGAGAGATCGGCGCGGGTGGAAGTTTCATCCTGGGCAGGTCTATCTGTGAGTCTGGTTTGTGCTCATGTCCCGAGCCTATTACGTGAATGGGACTTTGTTACTTGATGTCATTAGGGCCATGTCTTCGCTTTTACTGTGCTACCTAGGTTGAAGAATCAGAATTTGGAGCCATTACATCATGTCACATCTCAGTGTAGAGACATGTATGCAAGAAACTGCTTGCAAGTCAGTTTATACCTTTTTTTTTTTTTTACGGCTGCAATAGTGAATTTTTCAATATCGTTGCAATTTTAAAGACAGAAAACAAACCACACAATCTAAAACATGCCCATGAATCCTGTAAAGGGTGGATATTTCAGTTATTTACAAACACTGGCAGTTAATGAATTGGACACAAATTGGCTCATAGTTAAAACTTGTCCTTGGTTTTGGAGCTCAGAGTTAAGAACTGAGTGACCAGGTACGCTGTTACAGGAGGAAACAAAATAGATGGATATTTTTAGGGAAAAAAAAATTCTTAGGTTAAATGTCAAAGTTCCAATGTTACATGGTCTCTGGTTAATAACTAACTTGCTACAAAAAGAGAAAACATCTCAGCATCAGTCTTTTTACAGGAACTCACTGACTAATTCTACATAAAAAATTTTCTGTTATTGTAGACGAGCTTCTGCTGCTGTTTAGTTCCAGCTGCCCCACGCTTTCTGCACAAAACTCGAGTGCTTGTAAACCTTCAAGGTGTTTATAGTGGTGAGGATTCTGGTCAAATTCTCTTATGCCACAAACATAAGTCTGTAGTATTTAAGAGGCAGTTGAACATTACAGATTCAGATAAACCACTCTCCACTGCCTGCTTGTTGCAGAATATTCTTTCTACAGCTCTCTGCACCCACAAACCATTCAGCCTAGAGCTCATAAACTACAGATAATTGTTAATCTATCCATATTACCTGATTATTGAAGATAAAACATTCTTTGTACTTTTGGAGAATGTGTCAAGGGAGGAATCTTGCTTGTCACAGCCATATATTTTCTTCTCATGTTTCAGTTTCAAACATCACTGTTTTCTTATTGCTGGCAGATAGATCGCTTACATTATTCGCATTTCTATATATTCAAAAATTCAACTCAAGCTGTTTGTTTCTGATTTTGAACAAGAAATTCAAGTGTATCCTAAAATGGCAATGCTGTACTGAAAACCAAAAGCAGTGGCTCAAGCTGTGACATTCCTTGGACAGGTGAAACTGCTCCAAGAAAATCTTTGCTACGCACGTCGAGAATCATACTTGGAGTTTGGAAACTATTTGTCCTTATGCTGATATAACCTGCGTGACAGTTGCTCCAAAACTGCAGTAGCTGTCTGCTTTTTAACAGCAAGGCTAGCTGGGCAGAGAGGTCTGCGCCCACAAATATCTATCATTATTCCACCTGTGGATCAGGTATTTAAAAAAGCTGCTTGGACAGTAGCTACCCAGTAGCCTAGAGGGAGATTTTTCTACAACACTTACCAAAGTCTAGAAAAAGTCTTACATTGGGCTTTTACTACATATATTATTAACATAATGAAAGATTAGCTCAATACATCAGTTTCTAAAGGACAGAAACCAATAATACAACCTAACTCCTGGATTTAACATAAAATCTAACATATTTTCTAACGAATAACCTCTGACAAGTGTAGGCAGTGTCTGCTCTGCTGCAGGATTCAAAGGTAGCCAGTAAGGTAGAACTCAGTCATGAAAAATATTTCATTAGTGCAGAAATATAATGAGGTTTGTGATTCCCACATATCCTCCGTTAGCAGTCCTGGGGTGCATCCCTTCTCCAGTGCTGCTGTGACAGTGGACAGTGATTTTCAATTTGCCTTTTTTCAGTCCTTTTAGAAGTAATCTGTTGACATCTGTCCTTTGGTATCCAGAATTTAAAAGCTGGAAATCACTGCTAGCCAATCTGTGTAATTAATGTGGGTTGATGATCCATTCTCCCTCTGACTACGAGGAGCATGATAGCTCAGTACTTTTTGAAACACTGAAGCATGTTCTTGGAACACAGGCTGTGAAATTGATTGGCTTTATATTCAGAATGCTAGACCTCTTTTTCAGTCACCAGGCATTGCTCATCCTTCAAAACTCTTTGGGTATAGTTTAGCAAGTCCAGCCTCTAGATTTTTAGTTTGGTTGACATTGTCTGACTTAAAGATGTAAGTGGATTTAAAATGATAACTATTGCTGGAGAAAGAACTTTAAAATATGATGTTTTGCAACATGGTTTTGACACTGTCTCAAATATTATTTTCTAGTTTATAAAATAATGTTCACAGAACCAATCCAAAAATTTAGAACAGCAGTTAAATTAATTCAGTGAAAACTGCAGCCTTATCTAACATAATCTATCAAATCTGATGGATTATCTGTTGATTCTAGATTTCCAGCACAAATATGCATCAAACAGTGTCCTTCTTTAGTCTGAAGAAAATTAAGGACAGCTACACTTGGTTTGGCAGCTGAAAAAAAATCACTTTACTATGAGATTGCACATATAAAGTAACTACGGAATTGGGGACAACTATTTTTGATATCAACCATGTGCATGTGAAAACTGCCAGCGCATCTTCAAGCACTCGGCCACCATTTGTGATGCTTGCAGGAGAATTCTGACTTGTGACGTTCAGAAATTATCAAGATACAAATGCATTTATTGCAGGCCAACTGTACTACTTAGCTCTAAAAGCTTGCTGTCATGAATTTTAGATATTGGATCTACACAAGAGCTCAGGCAGAACTTTTAAGATAATTTTGAGTTGTTTCTTTGAATTCTGTTTGTTTTTCTATTTATCACCTTTTACATGTATGTGTAGGAGTAATTCAAATTATTCTTTGTGTAGTAGCACTTCAAGGCTTCTTTGCTCTTTGTGGCTTTTGAGAATTGATTAGTAGGGAAGGTGATGAAGTGTTACTGCTATGTTACGTTATTATCCCTCATCTGTATTTTAAGAAGTAGCTCTTTGATTTCCAACCTCAGTTTTGTCTGCACAAGCAAAGTCATGCTCAGAAATAGATTTTTGCCCTCAGACATTCCAGAAACCTTGCTTTACACTGATCATTCTTAAAAATAGGATTTTTATACTGTAGTATTTGGTGCAGGCCTGAAGTCAGTCTTCAACACTTGCCAAGAAATAAGTGCAAGCTGTTGTTCTGTGGTCCCCCCCAAAAAGAAACAAAAAGAAAAGCTTCATTTGATAGCAGTTGTTCGTAGATAGGTGCGCACAGAACTGAATGCCCGTGGCACAGTATCTCGGCTGCATATTTGACCTTGTTTTCCTTGTATTGGGAACTGCGGTTCCTTGCCACGACAGCTCATGGTGTAGCAGGATGAGGCAGGTCGGCAGGCTGTCACCTCTGTGACGAGAGCGATGGGACAGGGTTTGAACAGGAACGCCAAGGAGCACGGTCCCACGCCAGGTGCAGGCAGAGGATTCGCAAACCCGCTGCAGAACAAAACGGAGTTTGCGTAAGATACGCACACTTTAGCGGAAGAGGATAATCTAATGCGTCCATCGCTCCTTCCAGCAGAAGAAACACCCAGGCTGCAGGTTTCCCTTTGTATGCTCAGCCAAGCAGGACCTCTGTCTTCGTACTTTTTAGAACAGCATCTTCAGAGCTGAGGGACGCAGATCGACATGGAACTGACAGAGGTCCAACAGCACAAAATATGTTGTCATGGTGCTTGCATCAGGAGCAAAACCTAATTTTACTGTGATAATAAAGCCGAAATTGAACTACTATCATTTTTTTTTCCCCTTGGAGGCATTTAATGATCTCTTGCTAATGTTCCATTCAGAGCATAATTACTGTATGTGACGTGATTACAGCTCAGCTATGTATAACTGCAGGAGCTCAAATCCCTTTTGCGGGCTTTAATCCAGCTCCGGCCATATCTCCCGTCCTGTGAATCCTTGCAATTCAGTTGCAGGAGTAGGAAGCATATCTCTATGGCAGGATTTATTTGTGCCCTTTCCTGCTGCTCACCTGATGTTCTAGGATGAGCTGGTTGGCAAGAGAAGGGAATGGTTAGAACCTGTGAGGAGAGGTCGCTTCTCTGCAGCGAGCCAGCATGACTGTTAAATGCAGTTTTAATCCTCAACGACTTTTCTGTGCAGCTGCTCTGCGCCAGAGACCTGTACCCCCTGAAGGCTATGCTAGGGGTCAGAGCAAGAAAGGAGGGTTCATTCATTAAAGGAAGTGTATTAGTTTGTAACGTTTCTTTTAAGGTGTTTTCTTAAAGCCAGCTGTTACTTTAAAAGGAACCAATGAAATGACAGTTTTGTCTTAAGAATTCTCAGGGGGTGTTTGTAACTAGCTGGCCTCTCCCCTTTAAATGTAGCTTACTGTCTATTAAGGAGGAATATGGGAAACTGAAGTCTTTTAAATTTCTGTTACTATTTATATGGTGTCATAAATTGTTCACAGTGGCTGGCCCATTGTGATGTACTCATCCTTTCCAAGAGTAAACTCTGTGAACCAGATTTTGCATATGAGCACGCACCAGACTGCTTATATCACAGCAGAGATCCCTATAGGATTTCCCTGTAAATACTGCACACACACTCCTATATGATTTCCTATTTTTTAAGCTAGTCTTCCTCCATACAGAAAGCCTTCCTTGTACAATAAAGATCAATCAGATTTTGCTCAAAACTAAAAGCTTGTTAATGTAGCAGTAAACATTCATGAAGTCCTGCACAGAGTCTTGTTTTAAACAAGTTAGTTCTTAGCTGCTAACAGAGCACTCGTGCGTGGAGATGTGAGCATAAAATACTTGTTTAGCTGGATCTTACCAGTGCCAGTCTAATTGTTCACAAGTGATAAGCACACACAATTCTCCCGTAGGTCTAGAAGTCAAGATTAACCTGGTGTGAGTGCAGTTAAGACAATTTCTGCGTTTCAGTTATGTTGCAGTTTTGAGTCCTAAAGATTAGTATTACTGTGTGAAACAATCAGATTTGTCCTCAGTTGTTGGTTTTCCTCCCCCCCCTCAACCCTTAATGCAGAAAAACTTCACTGGCCTAAGACAGACCTTTCTAAGAAATCAATCCTGAGTCCAGAGGAATATAAACTGAACATTAATAATGAAAACAGCTTTCAGCACCCACCTTCTGGGATCCTTAAGGACATTTTCACCACAGGAACTAGTAGCTACAATGTCCTGCTGCAGAGCAAAGAGGAGAAGAGACACCACACTCAAAAGCAGTCGTCCGCTCACCACAGGAAACACAGAAAAACGACCAAGGGTTTGACCACCTCGCGGAGCAACGAGCACCGAAAAATCAAAGCCCCTCTCCCCTTGCCTGCTGCGGGATGGTTCTGCACAACCAGCCAGCCCTCCATCATCGTCACCGGCCCGCTGCCCACCAGCGTGAAGTTTACAAACAGTGTTTCGGTTGCGAGGAGTGGGGTGGGACTCCCGTCACGACCCAGAAGCAGAACCAAGAAACACATTAATCAAACAAAGCCAAAGCAATCCCAGTCCTCAAAAAGCAGTGGGAAAGAAGGCGATGCCTCTGGCCAGAAACTCTGTTTGCTGACTGCAATCAAGCCTTCCAATGTGGAGAAGGAGAAGATGAAATTCTTCAAGTCAGATTTCACGTATAATCCTCAATTTGAGTACGCAAACCCTGCTCTTCCAAATGTGTTGGCTAAGCACAGCCATGCATCCGACAGATTTCTTAAGCAGGTATAGTTACTTTTCTTCCTCCTTTTCCACTGATTATTTTTCTGTGCACTATTACGGTGGTATTTTGCTTTGTTCATAGCAAGTTGTTTCTCCTTATCATCCTCCCTACTGTTTGACACACATCAAAGATGAGAATAGCAGAAGTGAAAGAAGATATTTTTGATTAAAAAATGAAAGCCTTCCTAATATTTGGAGGATTCTGTAGGATAAAGGCAGAGTTCCTTATAAATGAGTTTACATGAAACATGATTGAAGGCTAGAAAGCTGTTTAACCAGAGTCCAATACAGGAACAATACAGTGCCTAAATAGGCTTTAATAAAGAGAGGAAAAAAGCAGTGTAGAAATCCTGCCAGTTCTCTTGCTGACACAGGAATTGGGCGGGGATAGCAATTATTTGAGGTCACGGTTATTGGATAAGCATATGTTGATATTCCTTGTTTTAATCAACTTTGAAAGGATATTTGCATGTACATTAGGCTCAATCAAGCATCTGACAGATTCCGTTCCAGAGAGAGGTAAAATTTAAAAAGACGCCTCCCCCTCTTTTTTTTTTATTTTCCCATAATATGCAGCCACGCTGGTAACATAGCTACAGACGTTGCCATTCAGTGTGGCTACTTTGGCTTCCCACCTGTCTGAGTTACCCCGCAAAAAAACCCAAAACCAATAAACAAGAGCCTCACTTTCAACTTTAATCCAAATGTCAAAAAAAAGTTCTTGTCTATATAAGAACAGAACCAGTCCTCTTTCCACTTTTGCTATTTTAAAATGATTTAGAAAGATCTTTTTTTAAGTCTGACAAGCTTTTCTAAATAGAGAATCTCGTGTTTCAAGGGATGCTTAAGTTGGGAAGAGATCTGGCTGTTCTTAAGCCATGGATTCTAATAACCGTTCTTTGACCTGTGAAGAGTCTGATTTTTTCTTTTCCGCACAGAGATGTTATTACCCAATAAGCCATTGCATTGTAAGGCTTGGTCTGCATTTTCACATTAAAAGTATCTGTGTATTCTGAAAACTCAGTAGCTCGATTTTCATTATGATTTTTTTGTAATGAGAACGTAAAGAACATGTTCTGCTCTTAAAATCAGTTTCCATACACCTAAACAACCAAATCATCCTGAAACCAAGTAAAACTACTCCTTGATTAGAGCTTTGTAGCAAGTTTTCCTTTGATTTTTTTTGTAGCAATATTAGCAGCACTAATAATAGATTGCAGCAAATGATCAATAACTAATTTGCCAAACTGAATTTAATGCAAGTTATCCCTTTCAGTAGGAAGTAGCAGAGCCTTAACAATTATTTTATGCATGATAATTTTAAGGAGCAGGCCTGACATTGATTTACTGTTCTTTTAATAAACCCCCAAACACCTAAGGAGTAAATATTTTAGTAATGAATGATTCCTCAATACTGTTCCAATTTGTAACTCTACCTTTTCTCATTTTCATACAAAGCATGGGAAAACAAAGGCTCTGGAATGACTTTATAAAAAGCAGTGAAGGATTTAATATTCAATGAAGTATTATATTTCTGAAGCTATGCAGGATGTAAATTCGTCCATAAGATTCAGTTCAGTTACAGAAGTTCTTAGCAAGGAAAGTAGTTCTTCAAAGTGCAGCTCCTAAAAATACTGAACAGCACTATCTTGCACCTCATATAAATGACCAGAAAAGTAGCTTTAACACAGCTCCAAGCCCAGCAGATGGCACTCTCCCTTTTTTAGCTCCAATTAGCTTCAGAAATTTTCATCATGAATTTCCTTTCATGCAAATTTTCTATCCAGAAAAAGCACCATTAATCAAAATTTTAATCAGCACATATTGTATGAACACTTGCTTTTCCTCAGTGCCATTTTTTTTCCCATGCAGATTTTACTTGCCAGAAGAAACACATAGAAATTTTATTGGAAGTGTTAAGTTCAGGAAAGATGACTTTAGCTGTAAAAAAAGTACTCACAGCGTCACAATTCATGTTTGCACTAAAAACACAACTGCATGCAGCCATCCTTTTTCCTGCAACAAGGATAAATGTAGTTTTGTATTTTGAAACTTATTACTTCCATTTGTTGCTGCACTATAGGAAGCTTTGCTTTCTGTGAACAGGAACAAAGTTCCAGTGAAACGAGCTCAAAACCTGACATTTCAGAATTTTAGAAGATTATTTCAAGGATTTAGAAGATAATTTCAAAGCTATTTTTACCCACAGCTGCGGATAGCCTGCTAGGACATTAAACCCGATTGTGTTTTCTTACTGCCCTTTCTGCTTTTGTCCGTGTCTGTGGAACTGGTTAGTATAGCATTGCTGCAGCATATCTGGAAGATGAATCACACTCTGCCCTATTTTTTTACTTTTATTTTTTTTAAAGGCAGAGAACACAATGGGTTTACAAACCATTAACGCAGCAGTGCTGCAGTGGGGAATACTCAGGCTTGTGAGCACCCACTTCACCCTCAAGCCTCTAGTCAGATCAAAACTTCTAAACCTTGGACGCAGCCCAATGCTTTTATTAGTTGTGTAAGCATTTCTGCATTATTAATACATTTGAAAATTATATTTTTAACGTCTGTCTTCTCACACTTTGTTCCATTTCTTTGTTTCTCCTTTGTCTTGTTTTCTTCATCCTAAGGTTCCTTCATGAGTCACACAATATGTGCCTTTAGGGAAGAGAACTTTAAGAATAAAAACTGGCATGCAGGCTTGCAGCTTTTCACATTGATTGGCATATCTAATATTACTGGAATTAATTATCTTATTGCTGTGTTTCAAGGTCAATGCAGCAACCCTGCTCTCTAACTGCTATGAAAGTTTTCTTGTTAGCACTCCTTCTCACTCAAACTACTTGCCCGTCCTTGTTAAGTTTTCTTAACACATCAAGTGTTGGTTATTTTTGCACAGCTGCGAGCGGTAGTGATACTTCAGTAGAAGTCATCCCCAGTGTTTGCAGAACAGGTCACTTAAAAATTGCAACGTGCTAAACTAAAGTCAGCAAGGAAGTTGCAACTTTGAGTAACCTGCGTGTTAACACCTGTTTGTTTAAATTGCACACAAAGGCAGGAAATCCATATACATACATATTTTTAAAAAATTCACTGTTTTGTGGAATGAGTAATTCCCCCCCGTGGAAGAGTTGTATAAACGGATTACAGAGTGTGTCGGCCTGTATCTAATGACTGCAGCTTGATAGTGCCTCCCAAGGAGATAAGAGAAGAAGAAAGGGTTTTTTTTTTTTAGATTAAGAGGGAGAGAAAGAACACACTGCCAGTCTGACACGGGTAGTCTTACTGCATTTGTATTTGCTACGCTTTTCTGTTTTCTAGTCCATTAACATTATGGAGCGGACGCTGCAGAAATACGGAAGCTATGAAAAATTTGAACAGGCCACTGGAGGCAGCTTGCTGACCAAAAGTCGCATCTGGAATCACGTCAGGAAATACATGGTGAAAGAAGGCTGCCTGGGTGAGGTAAGTCCTACACTGCAGCAAGAGAGCAACGTTTATGTAGATCTTAGACATTTTACACGAGGATGGACTTGAGAGACCATTTGGGAAGCCTAACATCATATTTTTCTCATGGCTGTGCCCAGTGCGATTTTTGAACAATCAAAATGATGCAAATCCCTTGTGAATGTCTCAGCCATCTCTCTGAGCCTGTTTCCTGATTCATATATGTTTGTTCTTATATTCGCCTTTTTTGGGGAGTACCCAAGAACGACACCCTTCCTTCCCTCCTTTTTTTCAGCTGCTTGGAGACTAGCACATTTCCATTTATTCATCAGTTCTGCCGTCAGTTCTCTTGTGTCAAATTATTTAGTCCAAAGGGAAGAGTTAAGAAAAGGCCAAGAAAAATAAGCAGGAGCCCAGGAGACTGATTTACACTAAGCAACACAAATGAAAGTAGCTCAAGCGAATAAAAATGTCTGAAAGGGATTGACTTGTTGAGTTGGTTTGAGTGCTCATTTTTCCTGACTTTCACCATCTAATTTTTTAGAGCCCTGTGCAAAAAACTTATTTCCCATATTCAGGACTTTAAAAGCCCAGTTTCAGTGAGTTACATGGAATGGGTTGGAAGAGTCGGATGAAACTGATTTTATAAAAAGAGAATTATTTAAAATAATTCCAAATAGTCATCGAGGCTTGGATGAGATCTCTGGCAGTGAGCAAGAGGGGTCTGGAATGGGACATCGAGAGACAAGAAGTAAGTTTAATTAGTAAACGTAATATTATTAGGAGAAATGGTTAAACTCATCACACCTTTTTTGGAGACTGTAATTTGACACTGATATCAGATTTTGCCTGACTTTCTAAGGGCAAGGTTATAAAACCACTGTTTAGAGCAAGTAGGAAAAAAAAATATAATTTTGATCTTTGCTGTGCTTTTCTCTCCCTTTGCATTCATTTTTGTATTGTCTTCATGGACGCAGAATCCTGCACCCTCATCAAACATCTCATGTCCTTCATAACGAAATGTTTTACTTTTTCTGCAAAAATAGAATTAATACATCATGCTTGGTGTGGTCTAAAAATATTAGGAAAATACTTTCTATATTTGAGGGGATCTTAATAAAGTTAAGTGGCACCTGTGCTTTGAATCTAAGTACTTTGGGATTTACCCATTTTTATGAGACTTGAATGTGTGCTATTGAATTTGAAGCTGAGTGGTGGGATTTGAATACAGGGAAGTGCCTTTGACCCCGGGTCCTCTTTTGTTGACTTTGATATTAAAAAAATATTATCTGTCATGTAGGTACTCTCCCTTGTACTCTTCCAAGCAGTACTATTTCTTTAGGCATTAGATGACAAGGGGAAGGTGCTTAGTCTTCAGCTAAGAGAGTTTCTCCTCTCCCTCCTAGTCACTTGTTTAAGAAGTCTTTTTAATAAATAAATATTTAATAAATAAAATATATCAATACATGTTCATTTCCTTCTCTGGCAGTTTTTGTTTTGATTTCGCATTTTCCAAGAGAAAACGGGAAAACAAGAACTACATTCCTTTGTAAAACAAAATTATATCAGTATTTTAATAATATTTCAAGTTGGCAGCCTGCATCAGAAAACAAAGGACACAGTCACAGGTGACTGGGATAGCTCAGGGGAGTCAGAAGTGTCTCTCACAGGCGATTGCGGGCAGCGGGGAATAGTTGTGAAGGGCAAAGGACCAAAGAGAAGTGAAATAATGGAACGGCCGAAGGAAATAAAGGCATGAATGGGAGCGAGAAGAGTGCTTTTTGCTACCTGAATTCTCTCATCTTCAGATTGTGGTCCATCTCACGGAGGACCTGCTATCTCGAGCCTCAATGACAGTGGTGAACGGCCGCCCCACTCTCACTATCAATATCTCCACTGCACGAGAGCACTGGCTGGAAGGGATGCTGAGACATGAAATTGGTATGAGCGTGCCACCCGTTCTTCAGGCAAAGGGGAGGACTTGCATGCTATTCTTTCTTATCTTGCAATGACGGGCCAGGCACTGTACGTATGGGCAAGGAGGGTTCATTTCGCTTTACAAATCTGTTACACCGCACTGCTTGCAAGTCTAGGCCTGCTTTAGGTGTGAAGAATTTACCCAGTGACCCCTAAACTCATGTAAAATTGCTTTGATTTTGCATTACATGAGGTTGGCCCAGCCCCATGGAAAATTTCTACAAATTTTTCAGCACATCTGTTTTACTTAAGCCCATCAAAACTAGATAAACTTCACTTGAAATTCAGACGCTAGCTAAGAGTAAGCCCCAGAATTGCCTTGAACCACCATTATTCACATTGTAAGGGGACATAACCTCTTCCAAGGCTGTGGCAGAGCTGTTTAGTCACCGTCAGGAGGTAACATATCTGCCCCATTACTCTGATTCTCCTTCTTTCTGTTCACTGCAATGCCTAGCCTGCGCCAGAAGCATTCAGCATGTAAGACATTTTTGAAAATTCCTGTTTTGAAATGGGCATGTCCTTCCATATTTTATAATTTTTTTTCATCATGAGATGCTACTGTTTTAAGTCCCGTATCTCTTTCTTTTCAGGAACTCATTATTTTCGGGGTTTTAACAACAACAGCCAGCCTTGGTGCAACTGGAACGGACGTAGAAAACATGGGTTAAAACCAATCAACCCTACTGAAGAGGGGCTGGCGAGCATCCACAGTGTCCTCTTCCGCAAAGACCCTTTTCTTTGGAGAGCTGCCCTGCTCTACTACACGGTGTATCAGGCCAGCCAGATGTCCTTCAGTCAGCTTTTCCAGGATGTGGGGAGATTTGTCAAGGACCCCAACACCAGGTGGGATTACTGCGTACGAGCCAAGAGAGGGTGGACCGACACGTCAAAACCAGGTGGGTTGCCTATTTTGTCTTCTTAGTTTTTGTACTTTGGAGAGGTTTTCGGAACACACGCAGAACTGCTTCATCACTTCACAACGTAAAAGCTTTGCCAAAGGGCGAAACAGGACTCTGTGCTTTCTGAAATGAGGCAGCAGGATTTCTGCCGTTGAAGATGAAGTTGAAAACATACATCCGTGAAGCGTTGAAGCAGAATCAGTAATGGATTTTTCAGGGTTTTTTTGGGTAACAAGAACGCAAACTGCAAAACCGTGAACAAGTTCATACTTGCAGTTTGGCCTCCTCTCATGTTTTTTACAAGAGATGCGGTGTTGCTGTGGGTATTCACAGACACCATCTTCTGTGTTTGATTTCTTGATGTGACTAGCGGGTGTAGCCTTCTAGCTAATTTTTGGGAAGCTTGTCAAAGCCTGGGATGTAAATACCTAGTTTTTAAAAACAAAACTGTTCTGCTGATAATGGCTTCTGAGAGCACGCCTTGAACAAACCCTGACAGAGTGCAGTGTGTCTCGTTTCCTTTTAGGCTGTTTCAATAAGGATCAGGTGTACCTCGATGGCATCCTCCGAATCCTGAGATATAGGGAGTCCATTGATTTCCATCTTCTGACAGCCCTTGGAAAGGTGAGTTGGACTCATTCTTACCAACGAGTACAGTTTTCTCATTTCAGCAAGCCTGTCTGTAAAGAGCTCTGGGTCACTGTGCTCTGTTTGACTTGGATCTAGAAACCTGTGTTCTGCACAGCACCTTGTTTTACACAGTGCAAGTTAGAAATACTCTGAGCTCCTAAAAATTTCTGCCAGCTTTTCCTCATTCCTCACTTATCAGATAAAGATTTTATGGTCACATTTCTGACTTTCCTCCCTTTGCAGGGTACTTCCTGCCCAAGTTGCTGTACAACGGATTGCCTTGGGCAAGTAGGACATATGCTAGATAAGGTGGTGGTCCTAGTAGAAGACAAAATTAACCATCTGATGCTAACACATCCCCTCCACCACCAAGTTTTTAATCTCAAATTTCTCTCACTGATGGCACCCTTGGCGTTTTGCAAAGATTCCCCCAAACACATGGTATTTCTACATTCAGAGAACAAAGTTCATGTTCCTTCTAAGTGTCATAGCTTGTTTGTTCTCAAAAATCATACTAGGAAGTGCAAAAACTTTGTCGTGCTTCCTGAACCAGTTCTCCAGACCAGTAAGTTTCCACAGTTCATAAAGCAGGGCTCATACTCACATAAACCAAGATTCAAACTGATGTTGTTACAGGCTTGTGTTTAGTGCCAGTACACCAACATTTCTGCCTACTTGGCAACCAATGGGTAATAAAGGGAAGTGGCACGTTGTGATAGAGGGATTTGGACTGTATTTAAGAAGTTTCACCTTTAGTGTCAGCAACATCCGTATTGGCAAGCAGAGCTGTTTAGGTAACTGAACCAAGCTCTGGAAATAAAACTATGCTGTCAAATAAGTCCCTGCAACTTTATTCGCTGAAACTTCATTTTGCTTTAAGCCTGCTTAGCTCCACACAGCTTCTGCCTGCTAAACTACTGAACACATACTGTTCCTATGCTGCTTTATCCGTTTCCCTCTTCAGGGAGTCCACAGGATGGTCAAGCCACTTCAAAAACTTACTAAGTCATTCCTCTATAATTACAGATTCCACTATGATCCACATGGAAAAGCATCTACATTAAGTAAGGGTCTATAAGCAATTTATTTCTAGTGGTATGATAATTTAGAAGTGCTTGACTTAAAAACATCTTGATTTTAGAAGGCCTCTTCAAGTCTCCTCTGAATGTTTTTACTGCACACACCTGCAGTGTAACTGGAAATTTGTGTGTAGGAGTGGTGCCTGCTCTCAAGCATCACAGATTGGTTGAGGGCTGCAGGGACCTCTCAAGATCATCTGCTCCAAGCCCCACACTTAAGCAGGGTCAGGAAGAGCAGGTTGCCGAGGACCATGTCTAGTCAAGCTTTGAATATCTTCACTGATGGAGACTCCACAACCTTTCTGGGCAGCCCATTCCAGTGTTTTACCACCCTCACCATAAAAAAAGGTGTTTCTTGTTCAGACATTTTTGTGCATTTTAACTGCTCCCCATTGTCTCTTGCCCTGCTAGTAGACAACTGCTGAGAAGAGCCCAACTCCCTTCCTACCAGACTGTCTTCCCAGAGAGTTCTTCCCTGCCCCTTGCACATTGGTGGATCATTCATGCTCGCTTAAATCTTTTCCAAAGAAAAATCATCACCCATTGTGAGGGCAGGCTATTTTCCAGGGAACTGACCACGCAGTGCTTAGTTCCTTAGAAGAAACACAGACTATAAAAGGTTGGAAGGTGCAAGCTCCACTCTCAAGCCACCTGACACTAAACCTGCTGTGAGGAAATGGGATGTGCCGGTTTGTAAGCACATACAGGCTCGTGAGTTTCTCCAGGACATAACGCTTCTGTCTGTGGGGTGCCCAGAACACACAGCTTGTAAACAAAGCAGCAACCACATAAATTTCATGGCACTGGAGAGCTGCCCACGGAGTCTGGTTCTGTGCTTGCAGGGCAGCTTGTGTAGCTGTTGCACAGCCAAAGCTTTCATCCTTTCTGGACCAATACTCATAGCAACTTGAGCTACTGTGAGCTCAAGGCTTGGGATTCCTAGCTTGGAGAAGCATAAGACTGTGGAGAAAAAAGATACCACAGCTTTCATTAGAAAAAAAGTAGTAGGCCCTGTAGTAGCTGCAAAGCATTTCAGAGTGTCACACCTATACCCAGAAGGCAAAGAGGCAAACCCAATCTCCACCTTGCTATTGAACGAGTTAAAAAAATAAAAGTTGAGACGTTTGAGGGCTTGCCGACATTGTAGTTAGTTACTAGAGGTACATTTTAATTCAGCTTTGCATAAGCACATTTGCTAGTGAAAATGAAAACCTGAGAGTTCAGGTCAGATGGCACCGTGTCTTTCCCAAAGCCAGAGCCTGCCTGCTTCCTGCACCATGCCTGTCCTTGTGCTCCCTTTCTAGATCCCCAATCTTTGCCACAGGTCCTTTTCCATTGTCATGTCAATCTTTCCACCTTTCTGAGGAGAGACTCCAACACTCACATGTGCTCCATCCCTTCCATCTCTATTCCTGCAGCTGCTGTTGGTCATTCTCATTCACTGAAAATTCCAATGAGTCTGTTCACTGACTGACTCAAATGCAGAGTTGAGCAGCGTAGAGGCATTTGCTAAAATTTTTTTTTCTTTTACATTTTCCACTGAGGCACACAGTTACTCAGGGTTTTAAAGGATTCTCACAAGCTTTTAAATCCTGCTCTGAAATATTTTCTCACGTACAAGAGAGAATTTAGAGCCACAATAGAGGAGTAATGGGACTACAGCACAAAAATTAACCCATGTCTTTCCTTACAGATCTCGTATGAAGACGTGGATCGCCTGAAAGGATTAGCTGTGATTGAAAACATGAGGGTACCACACTTTCTGCAAGACCATGCCCGGTATATGGAGCACTTGGAAAAGATCATGGAAGTCAATGAGCTGACTGATGAGGAGCTCCAGGATCTCATAAATTAACAGTATTAGCCCACTGTGCACTTACTCTGTGGGGATGTAGAACTGGACTTCCCAGAGCTTGCAAACATGGATTTAGGAGGGGCAGGAGGGAAGGGTGGCCAGAATACATGGAATTCAGGATAAGTCTTTTTATGTTCTTTTGCATTGTGATTGTATACCAATTATTTTTTAAAGGGTTTGTGCATTTTTTAAATTTGGCTTAGAAATTCCTTTACAGTGATCTCTCCAACTGTCTGCTCTGTTTTGTATGCTAGCTGTAGTGATTGACACTGCATTTTCTAATATATTGCCTTTTCCCACCCAAGTTTAGAGGTGGAGGAAAGGAGAAAGAGGAGAAATTCCTCCTTAGTTCACTTGTGTTTGCCGTGTCCTTAGTCATAGTTTTCATGGTTCATAGCAATAGAACTGCTGTAGATTATGTTACATCACCGTCTGCATAACTGTTTCCCATTTGGTCCTCATTTCAATGAGAAAAGAAAGTTTCAAAACAACGCACAGAAGCTGTTTTTTGTGCCATAGGATCAGAGCTCTGTAATAACTAAAAAGCTTTTTTTGGTTTTTTTTTTACTGGGAGACTTAGCTTTTTTTTTTTTAAAAAAAAAACATTACACCATTCAACATCTTTATCTGTATAGTACTTGTTTCAGGAAGCTGAATTCTGGAAAAGGTCTCCTTCCTTCAAAGACAAGCATAGCATGTCTAGGAAGTTCAGCACGACACTGTTTTGGAAGAAGAATTGGGCAGAAATATGATTTTGTGACATAAGTGTTTTCAATAAATTCAGGAGCACAGACATGATAAAAAAATAACAATAAAAAATAACAATAATAATTCAGGTCACTGACATGATTCTGCACAGCAGGCAACACCCACATCTTTGGGTCACCTGAGCCTACAGAAGGTCACTTCAGCTTTTTGAGCGGTACCTCCGTGCCACAGCAAGCTTCAGCTTGCAGAGCTGGTGGAAGAAAGAAGATGTGAACGTGGGAAAAAGAAGACCCACAGGTGCTGTATTTCCATGTTCCAACAGAAGTGCTGCACCACTCTGAAGCAACCTTACCTCTGTTTTAACTGCCAATCCTACATCCAGAATGAAGAAGAGAAAGGACCTTGCCATAAGGCACAGCTAGTCATGAACAGCTCAGGTGACACAGGAGGACTTAGTTCATAAACTACATTTTCTGATTCCGAGTATTTATGGAATTATGGGGACAAAGTGAGTTTTGCACCTGTAAGTGTTCTGAAAAAGGGGTTTCATTTTTAGTAGATGGCACTTCCCGAGAAGCAGCTATGATAGGAGAGGCTGGACAGGAACTTCTGCTTTGGTCCTCTGGTAACAGCTCTGGCATTGGATAAGAGAAGTAGATGGAGCCCAGATTTCCTCCACACCACATTTGCATGGACTCGAGCCTTTGTATCCTTCCTTCTCTGCTTATCCCGTTCTTTAATGGAAAAGATGGAATAGCTCTCCCACTTTATTAGACACCCAGGACATTACCAGTTACAACTGCAAAATCTTGAGAATGCATTCTCTGGAAAAAGAAAAAAAAATGAAAAAACCCCAACCTCTCAGTTGGCTAAGAAGTCTGGAGGTTTTTGAATAATCCCATAAAAGCAGCTGCCTTTTAGATAGTATTACAGGTGCATTTGCAGCAGCTGGCTGGCTGCTTAAACAAGCATAAATGCTGCTGCACTCAACAAGCATAAATTTACTAAATTTGGTTATTTTCAAGGCAGGAACCAAGAACTGCTCACAGCAGCCCTAATTTTGTATTGTCAGTACTGTACATGAGCTGAGAACCTTTCAGCTTCTGTGCCAAAATAAAAGCCCTTTTTCTCTCCTTCCCCGCTTTGGGCTGGTGACTTTGCTTGCCCAGCTTTGCAGTAGAGCTGTGCCGAGCAGACCCAGTGTTCAGTAGCCTGACAGGAACCAATTGCCATTCATGCACCCACGTGCTCCAGGTTTTGGCTCCTTGACCAGAAGCAGCAGAAGCCACACGTGGCTGAGGTCAAGTAAAAGATTGCAATGAAAAGCAGTCTTCGACAGAGATTGTGTGAGCTACACTGTGGAAGATCTTGGCTTGCTTTGCCGAAAAGTGCAAAAAGGTCAGTCCTTTATGAAAGAGACAACTCTGAACTGATGTTTTTTTTTCTTAAGGGAGAGATCCCTGCCTTCCTGCAGTTACTTCTATATAAGCAAAGTGCTTTTCCTCCTCCCTCCAGTAGTAATGTCTTGGAATCGAAGTGTGTATACATAACATGTCCTTCAAACCAGGAGGCTGTGCTATTCACCCTGCTTTAGCACAACAGCCAGGTGACTCTTTTATCACTCTGTAGCCCTAAAGACTACTGCAGGCCTTTTTCTGCTTTATTCGAAGACCTGCATCACATTTTCTTCAAAGCAGTAGGTGCTATTAAACATCTGTTCTTTGTTACTCTAAAAAACCAGATTTGCCTTGTGCAAGGTTAGAGCCTGGAAACAGTCAGTGTCACGGTAACGCTGTAGCCACAGATGAAGCTGTTGGCTTCTATTTTCAGCATCGGATTTGTCCTTCCTTTGTACAAGTGTTTCAGATTTTGAAGTGTAGCTCTGGTAAATTTTCCCTTTTTTTTTTGTTGGTTTTGTTATGTCAATGATGCGATGACAGCCTTTCCTAGCAGATTGCCTCACTTGCTTTGCTCTGTATCCATGTCTCAATATCTATGTTATTCCTATACAGAAACCTGGTCAAAGTTGGAAAAAGCCTCCCTGTTTCACCAGGACAATTTTAAAAGGCATTTTGTACAACTTTTGCAAATAAAGATAAATGAAAGAATGACAGAGATGTGAGTACAGAGGTGTTGTGTGCAAGTGTTAATCCCTTTTTTACAGCATCATCTCTACGACAAGTTAGACATCCCAAGCTGTGGATGGAAGAGATGGCTTTCTGAGCCAGTTTTGGAGAACATCACTTGGGACTGGAGTCAGGAGGGGTCTGGTGAAGTCTTACATTGGGTACGGCTCCCTCTGCTCTGTCCAAAGGCCTGGCTGCTCGCGCAGAAATTACACTCCACATCCCCTTTTTCTAGGATCCGACAATCTGAGGCATCGTCAGAGCTGCTTTGCTGTGACGTGTTGTCTGTCCACAGACAACTCTAAATATTCCACCTTAACACTTTGATCCACCCTCACTCTCCCCCACTGCTTCATTTTAGGGGTCCTTGTCCCCTCTCACATTATAAAACTCGCTTGCTTATCACTGGGGAGCCGTGGCATCTCCTTGTGGCTCAGCTCCCTCATGTATAACATTTAAGGGCTGTGGTTTCTTTTTAATGGAAATTCTTCAGAAGTCATTAGCTGATGTGCTGTGCAAGACAGCTAAACATTACATTTCCCCCTCCCTTGCTAGCTAGTTCAGAAAGCTCAGACTCAAATCTCCCCACTCCACAGGCTCCTGAATCACCGCTGTTCTCCCTTATTTGGTGCACCCCAGATATCCTTTCCACAGCGTCAGCAGCGTGAAACACAACTCTGGAACTTTGCTGGGTGGGCTTATTTCAGTGCAGAATAAATTTTGCTTGTTAACTGGCGATCTGCAGGGCTACTGCAACTCTGAAATCCTTTTTTCCAGGACCAGCCTCGTGAAGCTGGATGCACTGGAAGCAGTTTCAGGAGCAACTTGAGCACCGAGAGGCTCGGTGATGCTCCTGCCCAGCTGGTGAGGAGGGAAAGCTGGAAACTGTTTGTGCTGGAAACCAGGCTGGAAGCCTAAGAACATATGAGTCAGGAAGGAAGCTGAGAGAGGCACTAACCCATGAGGAAAGTAAAAGGAAACAGCTGGAACAATTGGCTTTTTATAAGGAAGTTTTCATTTAAAAGTGTCTTAACAATTTTCATAATGTTTTAGCACCAAATTAAGATATTTGAGTTCTTTTCAGCACACAGTTTAAAATGAGATTGTGTGTCTTTAACATACAGAGGCGACAATCTGTTTTGGTTTCACTGAGCAGTTACAGACTTTTCACAACTGAAAGTCTGTACTAGATTAAATCCAGAAAATCTGGATATTGAATTTTAAACCCATTCATTTATATCAATAAAAAAAAGATGCCATCAGGGTACCTCTCAAAGCACAGCCATACCCTTCCCGCTAAAGTTGTCAAAATCAATTCTTATGCCACTGCTGAAATATCTTGTATCTTCCCCAATGGCGTAGTGCCTCTGAGACACTTTAAGCCCCTATTCCTGAAGCGTCTGTGAACACACAGGGAAAAAGTACATAATTATTTCAGCTCTTCAGATAATGAAGAAACCAGCTGAAATGACACCTATGGTGGCTGCCATACAAAGCAGGAAAGAACACATATAGAGACAGCACAGCCAGGGCTCCTGAGTGATCAGGGTTGGGCTGATCAGGCAAGGCTTTGAAGAGAAAAGACTTCCTAAACTGGGCTCACATTCAGGTCTTGTCCCAGCAGTGCCTTGGAAATCGCATTTGCAGGGTCTTGTATATATACATTAGGGCGTAATTTCCATCTCATGCCACATCTCAAGGAAGAGACTGGTCCCCCAGTTTCCTCGCGTATTTCTCCCTCTTGGATTTTGTCTTGGTCTCTAGCATTCATCCTTCAGGCTGTGCTTAGTTAATCCCGATCCTTCACCTTCCTTTTTATCTCAAGAATATGTTCACTTCTACATCAGCCATCTCTAAGCCTGGAAATTAAGTCAATTCACACCCACCCACCAAATTAAATCCATACATTCTCCTCCCTCTCGTCTCAGCAATATTTAAAGATGAGGTCCCCTGTATTTTTCATCTTCCTTTACAGCTTTCAGAAAATCAGCTTGTCCAAGTTTGTGCAAGTTGTGTCACGAGACACATAGGACCATGTGGAGAAGTCTCCAGCTGTGATTCATTTCTCCATCTGCTCTCCCATCTCCATCCTTCCTCCTCTCCTAACCCCTTTGCTCCACACCTCTCCAGCTCCCAGCGTTCCTTTTTTTTTCCTTCTGTTTTGAAGTGAAAAAGTTCCAGTCACTAAAAGTAGTAATAAATCCTCCTAAAAAGCCCACAGGACAAAGCAGAGGCTTTGCCATGGAGCAAACAGGAGAATAATCTGGCTATATTTTAAAAGTCTTTGCTGTGGGGAGCAAAAAGAAAAGGCCAAATACCAGATGTACTCCTCCTCAACCTTGGCAAGTGGGATTTAAAGCTAAACTTTTATTCCAGCAGATGATAAAAGGTAGAAACTTAACCTGAAGACATGTGTCAGGAGGAGATAAGAGGCAGCTCTTAGTTACAAGAAAGCAGCCAGGCTCCACGTGCAGTGGGCAGGGAGGAGCTCCAGCACCCTTTGCTGTGCATCAGTGAGCTGAATTGCCTTCCAGAAATGACTATACTTATGCAAAAAACAAACCTGGACCAGTCTGTGGCCATTGGCGATATTACTCACGGAGCGCAATCCAGCCTCCCAAAATTTGGGCTCCTGAGGAAAGCCCAAAATGTTTAAGGTGTGGAGCCTGAATCAGACCTTTTGCAAGGAAGACTCACTGCTCCTGTGCTACCTCCACTATTGCTGCCTCCCTTGGTGCTGCCAGGGCAATACAACTACAGAAAGCTGGGCTGGCTAAGCTTCTGCTATAAGCATCTTGAAATATAACTGGTATTCAGGTTTGCTCCTGCAGTCACAGGAGGAAGCCGGCCACCACTTCAGCTTCCAAACCACCACAACGTGACAAATGCTCTTGGGAACTCCCCAAATCCACCAGGCTTGCAACCACCTTGTCAAAACACGACACAAAAAGCAAAAAGCAAAGCAAGCTTTTTAAAACCAGTGAACCCATTGAGATGCTGACTCCCAACATGAAGTAACCAGGCACACACTGATGCTCCATGCCAGGTGGAGCTTTACCAGTTGGCATTAACCTCCTCCTCCCTGTGACACTGTAGGACACATCTTCCTCCAAGGCATCTTTCTATTCACCAAATAATCACCTTCCCAGAGGCCCCCACTTCATCCCAGCAGGTTGGGCTGAGCAACCTCCAGGCTCCAGACCAGCCTCATTAACCTTCTCCACAGCTCACACATGGGTTATGAAGGTGGTGCAGCTCGTTTTCCTCACTGGCAGCCCATGCTGATGAGCAAGCATGAGCCAAAGCAAGGGCCACTCCTGCAACTGGTGCTGCTTGCAGACACCACTCACACCAGAGATTGCAGGTGCTTCTCCAGGGCTTTGGTGCGTCTGCATTTATTTACACCTGCAGCAGATTAAATGGGAACCAGCCCTTCTGAGTTTTCTTTCTGGAGTTATAAAGTCATTTCAGCCTCCAAAAGTATTTAGAGCAGAGAAACACAAGCAAATACTAGTAGGTACAAGAGAGTGAGGGCATTCTTGGGAATTTTACTGTCTCTCACTTCATGTGATATTTATTTGACTAAGGCAACTCTACTCCATTCTCACCTATATTTTGCAGTGGCCCAGTGGGGGTTGTAGCTCAGGGGGAAGTAGCAAAATTTTGCCTAGAAGAAAAGGACAAAGCAGTGGCAAGGATCTGCAGTGAAAGCTGGAGCCAAGCTTTCCCACTGACTTCTTTAATAATCAGGGACAAATGCCTGCGCCTCCCATTTTCAACAGGTAGTGCTGAGCAAGTCAATACACATTTTTGTTCTGATGCTCTGAACTCTCAGTGATTCAGGCAACCTCTCGAATCATCAATGAAACTTTCCTTGGTCTGAGAGTTATCCCACCTTCCTGCAGGTTTAGTTTTGTGTATAGTCAGAAAAGCTGTCTGAAACACTCAACTGTGTGTGTTTGCACATGAATTTATTCAGCTGTCACTACCTGAAATGTGATGATATTTCAGAAAGTTAAAGTGGTGAAAATGCTACAAGACTACGATACTGTTTTTGCTCTCAGCCCCTCAGTTACAACATCTTCCACACAGCAGCAAGGTGTGTGGTCATGTGCAACTTGGAGGAGAAGGTGCTGGGCTAGTGGGCAGCTCAGCCCCTTTCACACTCAACCTATTTCTTTCATAGATGTCAAATTGCTTTTTCCAGTCCTTGTATGTTTTTCCCTTCTAGGGGAACTGCTACTTGAAAATAGGTGGTGAATTTAATGCTCCATCTTCCAGAGGGAGAAATGGAGAACCCCTAAGGAAAATAAAACTGATGGGCAAAGGTTGGTGCAACACGTGTGTCAGCCCTTGCAAATCACGTCTACAGACCTCCCACTGAGGTATGACCTACTTCTCACGATGTAGAGCCCCGCTCAAAACACAGAATCACAGAATTATGGAGCCTAGAAAAGACCTCAGAGATCAACACCGATCCCTAGACAAAGACTTGGGGCTACATCTCCTCTCCGATGCCAGCTGCAGGGCACAAAGGCTGATCCTGCAAGATCCCCAACAGGGAGCAAAGCAAAGGGCACTGGAGAAACCAATCGGGTTCTGCAGAGGGTCAAGGCTGTGCTTTTCCGGCTCCTGAAAGCAAAATGCACCCTGCAAGGAGCATAAGGAGAGAGGAAGAAAGGGACAAGAGGTGCCCACGTCTACATGGGCCTGCAGAGGAACATCTCAGGCCTCATTTCAGGTCATGGAGGGACCAGCTCTGGCAGCTGTTGCAAGCACTGAATGGCATTTGCACCTTGTTGAGAATTTCCAGTGTCTCTCTTTTTGGGGGCTTTTCTATTCTCTCAATTTATAAGGAAGCAAAGGAAAATAATCATCACTCCCTACTCTGCCTCACTCCCACAGCAAAGCCTGGCTTGGCTGGGTTTTAGCAAAGAACCCATAACAGTATTAAAAGTACACTTTATTTTCTGTACAATTCTCATCTGAATCTCCAGGCTTGGAAATGTCCAGTGTCCCCAGAAAAAAAAAGTTGCAGATCTCTCCACTGTGACTGTCCCCAGCCGGGGCCACCAAAATCAAGTGCTGATGCTTTCTGGGCACAGGGAGAAGAAGGGGAAAGAGGGAGAGGAGGGGAGGCAGTCCTGCTCCATCACTAAGTCACCAGATGAAAAGAGCCTTCGGCTGCAGGAGAGGTGCCCGTCAAGTTCACATCATCGTTCGTGCTTTGTGTGAGAGTCGTTGCGTTCAACCATCACCCCGTTCCCATTCCGTGTCACCTCCTTCCTGTTCCAGTCCTTTTCCAAGTAAAATTCAGCGAGTACGGGGCAGTGGTCTGAAGCCACCCCACCCCACGACCAGTTATCGGGGATCCACGGGTTCGTAAGACCTTCTCGCACAACAGCCCAGTGGCCTGCGTGAAAAAGGATCACGGAGAAAAAAAAGTGAAGTGACATTGCCCAAATTTCACATGGGCCACCAACCTAACTAAAGGTTATGCAGCCTCACTAAAAAGCAACTTTACCTGTGAAAACCTTTTTCAAGCTCCGACTGATCCAGATGTTATCCAGCGACTTGGACCCTTGTGGGTTCTTTGTGCTGATGTTGGTGAAGGTGCTGGCAGGGACTAGATGATGGAACTTCTCCTTCCTCAGGATGTCGTGGTCGCTGCTGTCTGGGGCCTGGTTAAAATCTCCGAGGATGATCACGTCTTTTTCTCCTAGAAACCAGGAAAAATAAAAATGAATGGGAGGAAAGGACATCCATTGCTTAAGCGCAAGAGGGAGAGAGGATAAATGGGAGGAGGAAAAATATAAATGCTGAGTAGCAAAGTTGACTTTACTCTGAACTCCTGAAAGAAATGCAGTTTAAGGCCTTTTTCACTGACTATTTACTCACAGCCATTCTCTTCATGACCATAAAATACAGCCAGTACATTTTCTATGCTTGTTTTTAAATATCATCTCATTTATACCGTCATCCTTTGCCCGCTATTCACTGACAGTGACAAACCAGACAAGCAGGTCTAGACCTAGAGGTCTTTAGTGAACTGTGACTTTATAAGATTACTTTTCCCTTTTTCTGCAAGAAACACATATTTGCTTTCGTTTGTCCTGACATTGTCTTTTTATAGATTTGCCATAAGAGTCAAGGACACTTTTGTGAGTATCCCAGGAAGATACAGCCTTATACTGGTATCTACCAGAATCCCACGCAACAAGTCTGAGAAGCAGCCTGCAAGCCGGATGGCAGAAGAGGAGTTCACAAACCACACAGACACTCCCTGACTGCAGCAGGTTTTCTCTGCCTGGCCGACTGAAGGGATACTGCTGAACTTGGGAGGTCTTAGATTTTTGTCCAGGGCTGAATTTTCAGAGAAACAAAAGGAATGACTTGAAAAGCTCATAAAAAAACCCCTAAAATAATCCTATCTTCACGTGAATAGAAAATGACCTCAGTTATATTTTATTTCCAAATCTAATGAAGCAAGAAAAGAAATTTCAGACCCTAATTTCACATCCACAAGGTGTGCTCTCCTAGCCCCACAGCTGCAGGAGACATGCACTGGGGTAAGAGGACAATGCATCTGTCCCAGTACCCATCTCAAACCACAGTCAGAAACACCTGACAAACTGAAGAAAGCTGATGGCTCATCCAAGATGTTGCTGTGTTACAGCTTGGTACTGGAGAAAGAGGAAGATGCTAAAAAGGAGGAACAAATGCACCAAAAAACTATCCCAGAGCTGACATCAGAAACAAGAACTATGCGAGCGTGTAAACGTTTTCCTTCCTGGGATTGAAATGTGGGAGGAGATGGATGGATGGACTCCTCTATTCCTCACCTATGAACGCTCCCGTTTGTGCTGTTGCTGTAGAAATAGCTAGCCAGGAGAGGGAGTGCAAGTTCAGCAACAAAACCTGTTCCACTCCTGTCTTACACTGCATGAAAGATGAACTGGGAAAGGGCAGAGGAGCAACAAGATTGATAGTGTGTGACTACAAATACTTCAAACCACGCTGCTTTATAAGATGTAGAGGAGCAATGAAAAGATAGTGAAACTATTTATGGTTTCTCTACACTTTGCAAGTCACAAATCATACTGGAAATGATAGGATAGCTATAAAATGTTCATGACAGTGGCCTTCCTACCTTTAAAAAGAAACAAAAAAACCCAAATCTGAACTTGAGCTATTTTAAGCTCCCTCATGACCCAAAAGAGAAATCAATGCTTTTCTAATGGGATGACAGCGCAAGTCTTCAACGTTATTTCCCTTATGTGGAAAACTATGAGAAAACTATACTCGCAAGTGAATATTTTAACTGATTGCTATGTTATGGACAGTTTAGAAATAGCAGAGGCTAAAAGACCCAGCACCTGGATGTGTGCTCAGAAGGAAGCAAGAAGTCAGCCTGCAGCACGCACAGAAAGGGAATCCCTGCTTTCTTCACCCAGTTAAATGTTTGCATGCAGAATAACTAAGCATAAAATCATAACGCAGCATAAAGTTGACAGAAGGAATAGGATGGGATGTATGAAAGAAGCTGAAACTCTATTTCTCATTGGGGAGGGTAAGGATTGTTTCTGATCCCCTCTCACAGGAGCTTCTGGAAAGCAGGAAAAGCAGGCAACACCTATTTTCTAGACAGCCACCAGCTTCATTTTTCCTTGTCCTGGCTTAGTCTCAGTCCCGCTCCTGCGACAGCAATGTCCTGCTTGACAGCCCAGTCGTTTCATGTCCCTTCTGCCTTCCAAGACCCTGAGAGACATCAGTCAGCAAGCAGGAAGGAAGCAGATCTGTCTGGATCCTCCCGGGAGTGTCACTGCAGCTCTCAGGGCCAGCACCAACAGCCCTTGGCCAAACTTCACAAAAGGTCCAGAGGAATTCATGCCCTTGCCCATAGCAAGGGATGACCAATGATTGAAAGCTGCAGCTGCGATGCCCACAGTTACACAGAATCACAGAGTGTTGGGAGTTGGAAGGGACCTCTGAAGATCATTTAGTCCAACCCCCCCTGCCAGAGCAGGATCACCTAGAGCAGGTTGCACAGGATGGCATCCAGGTGGGTCTTGAATGTCTCCGGAGAAGGAGATTCCACAACCTCTCTGGGCAGCCTGTTCCAGTGCTCTGTTACCCTCACAGCAAACAAGTTCCTCCTCATGTTTATATGGAACTTGCTATCATAGAATGCATTGTGTTGGAAAGGACCTTTAAAGGTCATCAATGTTCAAGTTTTTGCCCGTTACCTCTTGTCCTAGTAGAATCAGATGGGGGAGAAAAAAGAAAATCAAGACAATGCTACTGGTGCTGTTACATGATTTTCCTCTTTTGGAGGAAGCAAAAGTTTGAAACTGGCATAGCTCACTCCTCCTGCTCAGGACTGGGCAGCAGAGGCTGCCTGAGCCAGAGGCTCCTCAGCTGATGTGATCCGGTGGTCCTCCTCCTCCTCCTCTCAGAGAAGGCAACAGTGAGCGCTCTCTTACCAACCCAGTTTTTGCTGTAAAGGTCCCTCCTACAGACTGTGCTGTCCTACAAGATGTGGGACATGGTGGCAGGCTCTTAGAATCATAGAATCGCTTGAGTTGGAAAACACCTTCAAGACCAAGTCCAACCATTAACCCAGCACATCCAAGTCCACCACTAAACCACATCTCCCACTACCTTTCAGGGGTCTTCCCATGCTATCACGCTGAGACCTGCCAGGCTCAAAGCAACCCCACCCTTGTCAACGCAGAACTCTCTAGGAGAAGGAAAAAAGCCCAGCCTGTTTGCAAATGCATTTGCTGAAGCACCAGCTACTTTTAACAGTGTCTGCAGGTGACTTTGAGGGACTTTGTGGCAGTCCACAAAGACACCTGTAGGACACTCTCTCTGACCTCCCCATATCCCCAGCAAGTCTCCTCATGAATAAACAGACCTTTAAACCCCGAAATCCTTCCTGGAGAGAGTGAGCTGCAGATGATGAGAAGAATGTGATGGAGCATTGGCTGTTAAGGAGGCTCCCTACCACCTCTTGAGGGTCTTCTGAGCCTAGTGCCTGATGGAATATGGCCCAGACATGGAAGAAGACAACTAATTAACCCAACAGCCCAGTCTCTGGGTCCAGCGCCACTAGCACATCCTGGGGAGCATCTGTGTGCCACCCACGATCATCACACTGGAGATAAGCAGGTAGAGTGCCTCAGAGAAGGCAGAAGGGCTGCTGCAAAGAGTTAGCAATGAGCAGCTGAGAGCCACCGCATCGCTCTGGTACTGCTGACAGGGAAAGAAAGGGGGAAAAAAGGAACTAGGACCTACTGGTCTGATGGCAGAAATATGGGGACACTACTGCTCTGCATTACAGGAGACTCTGGTCAGTAATCAAATTACCTCAGATGCTCAAGTCCCTCTTCATAAGAATGAAAGAGTAGGTGCCTCTTAGCAAAATGGGAGCAGAAACTCCAATTTACTGCTGTACCCACAGACAAAATCAGTCTTTATTACCCATTTTATGGATTGGTTTGGAAGAATTTGAAGGATGGTGGTAATTTTAAGCATGACATTGATTTTTGGCAGGGTAATTGAGCACTTCAGAGTAACACATGTGCAGTACCATTTGTTTAGGGAACAAGACCTGCATCCCAGAAATTTGGAGGAATCTGAGTCTCTTCCTTTGTGAAGGACTAAGCCAAGAACAAGCACGTTTCGTTAATGTGCCCACCATATGAAGATAAAAACATCAAATAAAGAGAAGCCCTGACACCGACAGTCTAAATTTAGATTCTGTGGAAATGCAACTCTGTTGATTTCACATTTATCTGTGTCTCAGTTCAGCCTTCGGGGATTAAACAAGCAATCCCTTTGTTTACTTCCATCCTTTCCAATTTCAAGGTACATGGACAAATACTTAAATCAGTAGCACTTAAAAATAGCTCCAGCTGACTTCTTGCAGCTCGGAAGGAAAAGCAATAGAACACGCACAAAAACTGTGAATACCTCGTGTTATACAAGAGGGGTGTTAATGCTTCCAACTGACCAACCTTGCTGAACTGGGCCAAGCTGAAAATCTTCATGTGTGCAACCTTGTAACTCTTTTGCATCTCTGTTAAGCAGTAAATGAAGGGTTACATTTTCGTATTCCTATAAGATCAGCAATGTTTAGAATCTGAAATGTGCTGTTCTGCTCCGTAGGAAACTGAATTTAATTTGCAAGCTTCAAAGAAAGCAAGCAAGTTCTCAGAAATGAGCTAAAGAAATTCAGCTGGCTACTACATTGCTCAATTTCAGGTCTAAATCCTGGCATCCCTCATCCTAGTGTAAAATCAGAGCAACTTAACTGAAAAGAACACAATTATCCTGCATATTAAACCCAGCTACCAAAGCTGGGTTTGGTTGCTGGTATCTTTTCTTGTTGGCAGCTATCTCCCAATATGCACTGGTTTTTCCATAGTGCTTTCAATTATCCAAAAGTAAATATATATAATCTATTAATTTTGAAAAAAAAAGCCATTCAGCTTTGCTCTGATACCATGTAATTTCCACAAAGCACTTAAAATAGGGTCTTAACCCTGGTGTCTTTTTTTTTTTTGGCTGAATGTAGTCTTAGATCAGCATAAAATCAGAAGAAACTTCATTTGAAAAAATGGTGTCAAAAGCCAGTTGTGTTCACCCCTGTTTGCGTTCACAAGGAGAGACTACAAGGCAACAAGCAGGGGAAAAGCCTGCTTGCAACACTATGGATCACTCATATCGAAATACCAGTTATGACAACGTGAAGCTGATGAGGATATTTGTGAAACCTGTAAAGAGACAGATTTTTTAATTTATTTTTTTTTTAATTCCTTTTGATAAGATGACCAGCGTGCATGTGATAGCCATCAGGAAGAAAATAAAACAAAAGATGCCACACCTTTCAGAGTCTCCTGCAAAGTCTGTGCAAAGGCTGCCAGTTTGTGGCTGTCGTGGTTCTTGCCGGTATTCTCTCCTGCTGAGGGTGGCAAGGCCAGATGAAGGTTAACCAGTGTTAGATCATTCATCCCAACCTGGAGGAGGAAGGAGGAGAAATCAATGCCACGCAGACACGGCATGGAAGGTCACAAAACAAAGCCATGTGCCTGTTTCCCAGTCCTTTTGGTAGTAAAACATAGAAACATAGAATGTGTTGGGCTGGAAGGGACCTTTAAAGGCCATCTAGTCCAACCCCCCTGCAGTGAGCAGGGACATCTTTAACTAGATCAGGTTGCTCAGAGCCCCATCCAACCCGACCTTGAATGTCTCCAGGGATGGAGCCTCTACCACCTCTTTGGGCAACCCGTGTCAGTGTTTCACCACTCTCATAGTGAAGAACTTCCTGATATCTAATCTAAATCCAGGCGACTAGGGCTCACTTTGTTACGTGCTTGGTGTGGTTTGGGGGTGGAAGAGGGGAAAAGGCATTTTGCAGCTCTGTTTGCAATAACCTGATACTCCTCCAGTCCTGGGGAAACTGGTTTGCAGAAGCAAACAACTTCTTTCCACCAAGGCTGCAGAAAGAAGCTGTCTGCTTACAAAAATCAGTTTATGCAAAACCAGTTGTAAATAAGCTACAAATAACATTGTGGTCATTACGTGGGCTAATTACGACTCTCTTGTGATTAGCCCTGGCCTGTCACAGCAACTAACCAAGAAACTTAATGTACCTTGAAAGAGGCTGTTGGCTCTCTCCCACTTTCTGCTTATCTTCTGGGACTCACTTGGTCATGTGGCACAAGTAATATTTGCTCCTAATACTGACCTGTTTACATTATTAACTAATTAGTACGAATTGCCAATAGTAATTTATTCATCTGTAATTCTTTTACTAATGCTTCTCTCAAAGGATTACCAGAGATGTCAGGTTCCCCAAACAAAACCGGTTTCCAGAATGCATGATGCTCTTTCAGATGGGTTCAGCCTACTGAAAAAGCTTTAAAACAGAAGCTCTGCGTTGTGCCAGCAACACGTGAGAGATCAGCCCGAGTCTTTCAGGAGCACTGCGCCTTCTGTGTTTTTATATATATATATCTTGTGGCCTTGACATATATTAAGCCATGAGACAGTGCTGAAGTGATGATGGGTTATAGCCTCAAGTAAATTTTCATCCATTAGAAGACTCTGTGTCTTTCCAGCTCCTTACTGCAATAACTAGGGGTCATAAATGATCAATAAAAGCTCAGTACTGCAATGGTCAGTTGGCACAGTGGTAGTTACCTTGAAATGTGCAAGATAAGGGCGAGGATAAGAGTTCTTCCCATTGCCATTAGTCTGTGCCATCTCCTGAGACGAAGCATCTTTCAGTTCAATGCCAGCTGTTGTATCCCAGAGGAAGCCAGAATATTCAACTCCCTGGAATTTTTAGGGAAAAAAAATAATAAAAAAAATCTAGTAGTAAGAAGGTAAAACCAAAACACTCTGTGCAAATCCAGGCCCCTAGGTGAAACTTTTGCCCACAAGTTTCAGTATTCATTGTTGGTATTGGCAATGGTTCTCGGTTCTTCCTAGTCACAGAATCACAGAATCACAGAATGT